CATTGTATGTGGATGACTTAACCCTTTGACTACTGTTGGCGCCTATTGGCGTCCGAAACACATTGGCTTTCCGGTACTGTAGGCGCCAATTGGCGTCCGAAACATATTGGCTTCCCGGTACTGTAGGCGCCAATTGGCGTCCAAATCAAATTTCGCTTGTTCCGCCTATTTTAAAATTTTATAATTGGTCTTATGGTAATGTAGAGTAATGTAGAAAGTTATTTAAAAAAAGCTTAAAATTAATGTTCACTTCAAGTAATATTCGTTTAATGTAATAAATTTCAGTATTTTGAATATTTTAATATACTTCCTCAGAAATGCATGTCTAACGAAAAATTTCGCCGTACCCAGTGGACGTCTCGAATGAATTCGTACCGTACTGTACGGCCAGTGCGTGCCAAAGTCTGCCGTAGTCAAAGGGTTAATTCGATTTCCTATGCGTCCGGATATTAAAAACATAATATCGCCATTTTCTACAATAATGTAATAATTTTCTACAATATAATTCTTCATCATATGTTAAGGTCGTATGCAATCTGAACCGGACTAGGCTGAGCAACGAAGCGTTGAACGAGAGCCAAGATTCCGCTATGGACCAAAGTCCACACGCAACGCCGATCACCTGATCGCCCATAGGCAGAGGCGCCGGTGGTTACGTGAACTTCCTCTCGTACAGATACCGTGACTACCGCGAACCACTTTTAGACGAAGTCGCACCGCTGGTGGTGACCACGCCACCGGCCGCTCGCCACGTCGACGAGACAGCCGACGCCCTCTGCCCGGTGCAAATACACGTGCACGACCCAACAACGCCGAGCATGGAAACCAGCAGACGGAGAGCAGGCGTTAAATGCGAAGAAAAATGGGGCGAGGAACAATCGAGGAATTGGATCGACCTTGACGAGAACGTTTTAGACGGTTACATGTTAATCGACGATCTCTGCCTGGAATCGAACGTCGTACCAGACGAAGCTCGCGAACTTCCTTATCCAAAAGGAGTCGACGAAGACGAAGACAACCACGAGTCGTCGAGCTACGCCGATTTTAGACTAGAAGACTCGAGACCTCGAGAGGACTTCGACTTAAGCACGACTTACCCAATGGCGAACAGCCACGGTAACGCCTACAAAGAATTAAGCGATCATTCCAGGTACAGTGAATTATATTCCGAACTAGCTATTAAAAATTTCCTCGAGATCAATCGCGAGGACATGGGCAACTATTCCGTGGCCAACAGCCACGGTGACCTAAGCGCATCATCAGAAAACAGAGAAAGAATGTTAAGAGGAAACATGGAGGCTGACCAATCAGCTTGGGACGCCAGGCATCAGCAGACGTCTTACGAAGTAGCTAATAGTCACAGTAACTACCGGGTGTTCTACGATAGTCAGTCGCAGCAGAATTTATTACAAGGTTGGCCGACGGATTGGATGGATCGTCACGTGTCAGAGAACGAAATACAAAAATCAGACAATCCTAAAAACGACGATGATCAATCAGCAAAAAGCAGTCGTTCAGAGGTGAGAATCGATCCTACTTCAGAACAAGCCTGTGACATTGAACAATGTCTCGTTCAAATTGAAGAGAGTCTTCTGAACATCGAACAGAATCTGCTCCACGTGCAGGACCTCGACATACCAGAGCTGAGGAACCTTCTGTACAGAAGTCCGAGCATAGAAAGAAGCCTGTTCGAGGTGCAGGACCTCCTCTACGCTGACGCCATTGTTCCAGTAATAAACAAAATTAAATCATCCACCGAGAACGAAGAAGAAGAAGAAGACGAAGAAGAAGAAGAAGAAGAGGAAATGTGGACAGATCGTCAAATAATCGTCAAGGGCGACGATAATGAAGACGACGCCGGCGCTGGGGCGTTCAATGTATCCAATGAGGAATCCGACGTCGCCACTGTAGACGAAAACAACCAATCAGGATCGCTGAGTAATCAATCGAACACCGACTGCACCGACGGCTTCTCTACCGTCTTCAGGGAAGACGCAGCTGACTCGAATTACAACGAGAAACCTATGAATTTCATTCCAAATAGTTTAAACAAAACCTTGCCGAGGAGAATCGTCCTTGACGGTACCAAAGAGAACATCAGGCTCTGTTCGTCGCAGCCGGACGAATCAACGATCGACTACAATCTGAACACCACGTGCGCTGATAAGAAACTGTTCTGTCGCGATAAATGTCACAGTAGGTCGAATTCATTAGATGAGAACTCGACGTTCTCCAATTTGGAATCCAGCGACAAAGCCGCGAAGAGTTCTTTACAAAATTTGCTGTTCGAATCGACGAACAACAACTTCGTAGACCTCCACGGGAAGGCAAGGTCAGAAGAAACATTGCGGACATCACAGAATCCGAAAGCGAATAGGAAAGCTTCGAACAAGAAACGTTGGACCATCATGGATACAAGAACCGAGGATTTCCGTAAGAAACTCGAATTAATTTCAAGCAACCGACGATTTGGAATAACAAACATGAACGATCAAAGAAAACCGAGGATGTCTAGAGAGTCCATGACGACTCGTCCGCGTGAAAAATCGCCCAACAGAACGAAACGCACGGCGTCCACAGACAAAATACAAGACAAGGATAAAGAGCTCGGGAAAAGCTCTGATAAAAGGAAGAGGAAAAAATTAGGCAACAAGAGCCAAGGTTCTTCAGATGATGCACTGGTTCCTAGCAAACTGATCTCCCTCTCGTTGTCTCTTCTCCTCGCGGCGTTGTTACAAGCGGTCAGGTGCCTGACGGACTTAGTAGAGGACGCGTTCAGGTCCGTCAGCTACGACAGAAACGGCCTATTGCAATGAAACGATTTTAATCCGGCCCATCGTCCACAATGGCAACGTTAGATGGCACTAATCATTTATCGTCGCATTTAATTGATTAATTTTAAAAATCGCTTACCATCATCCAAGACCAGATTTTTGCGATGTTAGAAAGTCTTCTAAATGTGATTGAAGTTTTAACCCTTTCGCTACGGCAGTCCGTTCCGCGGGATCACTTTATATTCTTTTTTTTTTTTAGATACAGGTAGCCCTTCTTCAACACGGTTTCGCTATAACACGATTCGTAAATTGCGCGAACCCTCCTACAACACGGCATCCTATAACACATCCCCAAGGGATTAACGCATCCCCACTTATGCTTCGGTTCAGGGCCGTGTCTTGCTGGCTCTAAACTGTACATCTTGCATTCTATTGATTGTAACAAT